ATACTTAAAAACACATAAAAACACTTGAAAACCATGTAAAACATACATAACGTCCAGATAAAACACTTGCAACAAATGTGTGAAACATATGCAACATCCAAATAAACACACTTACAACGTACGTTTGGAAAAAAAAAGATGAAACATTGGGAACAAAAGTTTGCAATATACTGGGTACAACCATTGTAACATATGCAATATCACAATCTACTTTTGCAACATCCACATGAAATGCTTGTTACATCCAAATGAAACATCTGAAACACTTCAAACATACTCTGGCAACATGCATTTTTAGCGCGCAGTGTCACCTTGCTGCTTGGACGAATTGCGGAGCTTGATGCCGACGCAAAAATCGGTGGTGGCGCATGGAGCTCACCGGTGCTCCCCTAGGTGAGGACCTGCTCGCCGGCCTGGATGAGTACCTGCTCGGCGGCATGGGTGAGCATCTGCGCGAGGCAGGCAAGCACCCTGGGCAAGCATCTGCACGAGCACCCCTAGGTGAGCACGTGTTGCCTGGGCCAGCGCACCATTGGCGAGGGTAGCGGAGGAGGCCGCAGCGGGCGGATGCCACGGTGTAGGCGAGTGACGCAGTAGAGTCGAGCGTGGATGTCAGTTGGAGCGGTGGATAAGGCCATGACGGTGGAGGCCGAGCGCGTAGAGAGATTTTTTTAAAGGGTGCGGACGGAGCGAGCGGACGGATAAGACGGGGAAGCCGTGCCCGTCCGTACATCACGACCACACGATAGCATCACCGTTTATTTTTTGTTTCAATGGGCTCATTACGCATCAACATCATAGTATGTTACGCTAACAAACTCGAACTAATTAAGTCTCCTGAAAGCTGGGAACGTAGCTCATATGCTCTCAGTAGTTCTGAGAGATCAGTGAACTTGTTAAGTACTCCTAGATCACAGATTCACAGTGTTGCTCAGATTTTTCAGAATTTCTTCTGTTTTGATATACTACTAGGATGATCGGCCCGCTTCGTTGGGCCTTATCCGATGCCTCAGTGCGTCTCAATCTGTTTCGTTTTTACGTTCGGCTGGTCGTTTTCGGCTGGCTGGCTCGTTTTTTTTTTCCAACCGAAGCAGTGTTTTTCTCTCGTAAAATTACAGTATGAACAGTAAAATCCATCGTGAACAGTGCACATTTCAGTCCAGCCGAACACTCCCATGAAGTGGGAAACAGACTTACTACTATTTTGTCAGAGTTCTTCACCATGCATTTATGTATTATTTGCTCTTACTAGAGGGAGCAGCAAAAGGAGATAAGTTCAATCCAGCCATGACAACTAAAGACAGAGAATATGATGTCAGATTTGTAGATGCACCAAGTGCCAATATAAGCTTAAACATCCAGAGTAACGAACTATCACGTTTGATCGTTTGAATAAAGTGCGCCCTTGTCTCCACGAGTGGAACATGTCCCTTGAAGTCTCAGGTATGGATGACTCAATATGCTCAACTGCTAAAAATGATTATGCACTGGAAAATACAATAGGAAGCATCCGTGCAGCAGCAAAATCCATATTTATTAAGCAAACATGCATGTGTTTTGAGCTATACGCTTTGCATCACGAAAACATCGTGCTATACAGATAGCTAAACTTTTTTTGCTCATTGAATCAGTACTACTAGCTGGCAAAGAAGGAAGCTTGTTGTAGCTTTTTTTTTTAGAAAGGAAGGTTTTCCCCTGCTTTTGTATTTCAAAAAGCAAGTTTCACAGTTTTAAGTTTCGGCACACTGCCAGAATTCAAGGCCTTATGGCTGGAACCTGATACAAGACATCGAGATCATCAACTTACTACCCACAGCAGCTAAGGGCCTGTTCGGCTGGTATTAAAACCAGCTGATAAGCCGGCTGGAGCTGTTTTGTTGTGAGAGAAAAATATTGTAGATTTTAGCTGATAAGCGGCTGATAAGTTCAAGCGACACAACAGTCAAAGCTTCAGAAATTATGTTACAGACATTTCTGGCAACACAGCAGTCAAAGAATAAATGTGGGACGGACTCCTTGTTCAGAGCAGAAAATACAAGAAGGATCACTAATATCTCTTCGATTAGCCAAATTGTCTCTAGGCTAGTTATAGCATACTGTATCTATCAGATCAAATGGGAGGCAACAGGTTAATTGAAGTTGCATAACTAAAAATTAGAAGACATAATAAATCTTTGTAGCAGACTCGTTTATTTGTTTGTATCATATATCAAGCAGTCATTTAAGAACACAATGGAAGCACTGGATCACTATTTTCTTTTCTGGGCATGTCCTCGTGAGACGACCAAACTAGTCTTCACCGTGAGCAGTAAGCAGAGGATGCGCCTTGCAGACTCGTTGCAGTTGCAGGGACTTATTTTTTCCACGTAGGCACAACGAGGACAACATGGCATGTAGATGTAGGAATAAGGCGCATGCCCTCTCTAAGAGCACCCGTAGTGTAACGACTCAGGGGTGTGCCTAAAGCTGAAATGACTCGTTGTGGTATTGAGCCCATAGTGTATCGACCCAACCTGAGCCTATAGCCGGACCCACGTAGAAAGAAAAAAAAGCGACGGACATTTCTTCCCGCAATCTCTTCTTCGTCGGTCTTCTTTCCCCTTTCTTTCGTCGCCGCAACTCCTCCGAATCCGTCGATCCGCCCAATCCATACCTCATCTCGCTCGTGCGGCACCCCAGGCCCATCCGCCGGCTGTTGTCTCCCTGGTGCAGCGCTCCCTGCCTCATCTGCTGCCTCCTCGTTACCCCCATGCGGCGCCCGCCTTCCGCTCGTCGTCGCCGCCCGATCTACTCCAGGTTCGCTCATCGCGGGAGCCCTCTCTGCCCATGCGATGTTGGCATACAACAAGGAGGACGCGGCAGCATGAGCGTCCATGGTGTCGTGCATGGAGGCGCATCCTTTGTCGCCTACGGGATTTGCTGCATGGTTTGTCCCTCCCCATCTAATAATAGAATTTTTTTGATTTAGTCTAATAATAGATTTGGTGTTGTGCGGTAGTAGAATTTTCCATTCATTGATTCAGAAAAAAAGAACTTTCCATTCATTTAGGCTTACAGCAACAATAATAAAAAAACTAAAATAGCAAGATACTTGCAAAGCACATCTACAGATTACAGATCCTGAGTTTGCTGACCACCAAATTTTTGCCATATATGTTCCACTAGATCTTCCCGTAGACGTTTATGAGTCTCTCTGTCATGAATCGTATCATTGATCTCCAGCATTCTGGTAAATCCATGAATTGGTCCGTGGTCAAGTCCTTCAATTGGTCTCGTAGCTCGACCTTCTTCATATGTAGTGTCTAGATGCAACTGATACGAGTCCCTCTCATCCTCAACTATCATATTATGCAGAATAATACAAGCCATCATAATATCTTCTAGCTCCTGCCTATCCCATAGACGTGCTGGATGACGTATAATGGCCCATCTTTTTTGTAGAATCCCAAAAGCACACTCGACATCTTTTCTTACGGCCTCTTGATGCTGAGCAAAGAGTCTGTCCTTGTCAGTAAGAGGTAAAGTAATTGTTTTTACAAATGTTGCCCAGTCAGGATAAATTCCATCAGCCAAGTAGTAACCCATATTGTACTCTGAACCATTTATTGTAAATTTAACTTCTAGGGCTCTCCCTTGTAGCACTTGTGTGAACAATGGCGATTGGTTCAACACATTTAGATCATTGTTGGATCCAGGTGTGCCAAAAAAGACATGCCAAATCCAGCGGTCATAGGAAGCAACAGCTTCGAGCATGATAGTGGGTACCTTGTAGTCACCACAGGTAAACTGCCCCTTCCATGCAACTGTGCAATTTCCCCATCGCCAATGCATGCACTCTAGACTTCCCAACATCCCTGGAAACCCTCGTGCCTCTCCAACTTGGAGTATCCGTTGGATATCTCATCATTAGGTCTTCTAAGATATTTCTCCCCATATATTTGTCTAATACCTTGAACAAACTTTATTAGGCGCTCTAAAGTTGTGGTTTCAGCAATTTCAAATGATTCATCCATAAGGTCTGCTGGTGATCCATATGCTAACATTCGGAGGGCAGCCGTGCATTTTTGCAACGGTGAAAGACCCACCTTACCGAATGCATCTCTCCTTAACTGAAAATACGGGGACCAATTTTCTAATGCTTCAACAATTTGCAAAAATAAGTGCTTTCTCATCCGAAACCTTCTACGGAATTGGGTTTCAGTGTACAAAGGATTCTCACAAAAGTAATCAGCAACTAATTTTGCATGGCTAGCTTCATGATCCCTATTAATGTACCTTCGTGAGTTGCGGCTGCTACCTGCCCGATCTTGAAGTTTAGCTTCAATCTGAGCTTGCATTTTTGCTTCAACACGAGCCACCAGTGGGTCATTGATTTCCTCCAGCATGAGATTTTGGAGGTACTCACTATTGATGGACTGATTTTCAGAGCCTTCGGCCATTTGTTGGTATAGGTCTAGCTTAGTGGATGGAGTAGAAGGAAGTGTAGCATATGTGAATGAAGGAGTGGTGTGTTTATCTTTCAGGTTGTATTTATAGATGGCTTCTCCAGCAGTTGGCTTCTCCAACAGCTACTTTTTTCAATAGCTAGTTTCTCCAACGGCTAGTTTTTCAACAGCTACTTTTTCCAACCGCTAGTTTGTCCAATAGCTAGTTTCTAGGAAAATTAGTTTCTCCAACAGCTAGTTTCTGAGTTCCATGTCTCTTAAGGAGAGCACATTGCATAAACAGGTACAACCCAATATTTTGCATGGCCAAATTCATTTAGTACCAAATAATAATATTGCCACATACATTTAGTAGAAAACAAATTCCATACACTAATACATAAATGGTACTGCCACATACAGTAGTACAACACAAATTCCATTGATACACTAATACATAATGGTAGTGGCACATATAGTTACTACAACACAAAATGCATACACTTAATACATAATGGTACTGCCACATATAGTTACTACGACACCTACAGTACACACTAATACATAATGATTTGCTTAGTTGTTGGAAGATGGAAATAGTTCCTTGGCTAGACTTTGTAAGAGTTGTTCATGCAACTTCAGTACTGTTGGACTCATGTTGGAAGTATCCTTATCTAGCTGATCCATGTACTTTTGTATCATTTCATTTCTAGCTTGCTCCTTGGATGCTTCTGTTATTTTTTCTAATGCACTTGCTCTCTTCAACATAGCATCGTGAAACAAAACCATGTCTTCATCTGGCTGCGAGCCTAGGGGAGATTGTGGTATGACCTTTCCCTTTCCTTTTCCTCTCATCCTAGCTTTTGCTTTCTTCTGCCCCTCTGGGCGCACTTCTTTGAATGTCTCCGCCTCATCTGTGTCTTGGTTGGAAGATGAAGTGTATGCTCTAGATTCATCTATTTTTGTCCTTTTGTTCTTGTCTGAACAATCTGTACCAGGTATACTTCTATACCATTTGGGTTCTTTCTTCAGAACCTTCCAAACATATTCAAGTGTAAAGGGCTTTTGCTTGTTTTATCTCTTGAATGTGGCACGTGCTTTGTCCATGAGCATGTCATCAGATTCCCCACTACAATAGGTCATTCGATTATAGACCCCCTTGAACTTGGTAGCAGCTGCATTAAGTCTTCTCCAATGGCTTTTGAGCTGTCCCTTTGACCTTCTTCTTGCACCTTCAGGTTGGCCTGAATTAAACGCTTCTGCTATTTTCTTCCAGGAGGCCTCTCCAGTCTGATCTATGCCATAAATTGGATCTACTGAATGCTTAATCCAAAGACTTACAAGGCGTAGGTTCTCGACCTCACTGTAATTAATTCTCACAGCCCTCCTTCGTTCATCCGGGCTGCTGCCGCTTGAATCTTGCTTTTGGTCATCTTGCTCCACCTTTCTTATTTGCGATTGCGGGGTTGCTGAATCTGAGCCATGTGAAGATGCACCAGCAGCAGCACCTACAAACATTCCACCTGTGAAGCCAAAGTGGGTGTAACAGAACTGGCCAATTATACGAAATTAAGTAAGAAAATCATCCGCCAGAGCAAATGATTTAGCAAACTTAAGCCCGTATAACCCGGTAGTCCGTGAAATCACGAAGGATTTCAAACCAACTCACATCCCAGCCAAGATAGTAATAAGTTTAGCGGTCACCATCACATATTACATAAAAGTTCACATCTCAGATACATCAGAGTTTAAAACATAGTTATTACAAAACGAGTTCGAATAAAAGTAGCGGAAGCCATTTGTTTAAAACCACACACACTCACACGGAGTTCAAATACAGTGCCAGCTGATGATCATCTCCAACAAAATCATTAGACGAGACGTATGGAATGACCATGCCCATGGTCCTAAGCATCACCCATCGTAGGATAAAGGCAGTTGATACAGTAGCCGTAATACATCTACCCATCTGCAACAAGTGGGAATAAAACCCTGAGTACGAGAAGGTACTCAGCTAGACTTACCCGACATAACCGAAAATAAAGTGACACCAAGGATTATGAAGGGCTTTATAGTAGGGTAGCTGACTCATTTGCAAAAAGAGGCATTTTTAGCATTTCAAGAACCTTTCAAAAGCATTATTGTCAAGTTAATTATTTATAACCTATCGACTAGATTTGCACCTACACTAGAGCAAACATGATTAAGCAAATAATGATAACCAATGATCATTAACAACTTCCATAATGTCATATTCATTATAACTGTCCAAGTGTTCCATCAACATTACTACGATGAAGTCACTCAAGTCAAGTGCTCACTATCCAGGAGCGATGGCGATTCGAATTGATTCCTAACCAGCTGGTGATTTATTCCTTACACAAACCTCACTCACCCGCTAAAGTGAGGTATTGATCACCGAGTCAACTATCCAGGAGTCTCGAGTTTGCCAGGAACCACATGTACCCGGAGCCGACCGACTGCACTTTGGTCTTATCATCTCGCCCCCGTGTCCTACCACACCTGCTCCGGCACAGTGCGCTGCGGGCAATCTACTCGGCCCGAATAATCTCCCAGCTTCGCGGTCGGAAGGTACTTTATCCGGCCAGCTAAATGTAAGGCATGCGTTCAACATGACTCGAGGCCCAACAACGGTCGGTCCTTAATCGACACAGACGGAAAGCACTGCAGTTCAAAACTCTGTAAGTCTCCGTCCGGTCTCAACTTCATTTAACACTTAGTTATACCATGACTACATAGTTATCCAAGCAGATCCAGGTAACCACCTATAGCTCACAGGTGACAGGAAATCACCCGACTTCTACCGGTCTAAGCCAGCTAAGCATTGACTCGACTACGGATACCAGGATAACAAGGATATAGTATAACAAAGGTAGACAAGGTATAATGCAACAACGGTTGTAAACAACTCCTGAACGTAATGCACCAATTAAAGTAAAGCATTTAATTAATAATTGCAAATCGGGGAGAAAATGCTCCGGGGCTTGCCTCTCTCGAAGGAGCTTGGGCGGTGATCGGGGCACTCCAGAAGTTCCTCAACGTCCTCCTCGTCTGCTTCGGTCACTTCCTGCGGCTGCACCTCGAGCTGCTCCTCGGGCTCCTCGGGTATGACGACTGGGTTCTCGGTTTGCGATCCTGTATGATGCATGTGCATAAGTGCTTATGCAAAAGTGCATCGGATGAAATGAACACAATGGATATGCTTGAATGTAAGGTAGTCAACATCATCCAAGAACATATACTACAAGCACATGTCATCTACTGCATTCTCTTTTACTACTAATATGCTGAGTCAACACATCTCATTAAATGCTTCAAAGATACACCAAAGCTTCACTAATTTCTTAATCATGCATAAAGCAACACTTGATTAAACCCTAATTAATAATAGGGTTGAATAGCAACATCTATTTTTATAGCTTAGAAAAATCTTAGAAAATTATCATAGCACAGTACTACCCTAAGTAGTCTACCATCAGATTTTTATGGCATTTGGATAAGTAGAATAGCCTACACAAAAATAACAAGCTATGGCATAATTATGAACATGAAAATACTTTGTATTATGAAAGTGTCAAACAACAGGTTTAATATTTTTCCTAGGTTCTAAACAGTAAATAATCACTGTACAAAAATTATCACATGCATGTTTTATACAAATTTTGCTCTCTAGAAAAAATAACAAAAATCAACCATTAAAGACACTTGAACTATACCTCATAATTTTTCTACAGGACATGCATGGAATATATTTTTCACAGAAAGTACATTACACAAGAAGAGTAATAAACTTGGAATCATATTTTTCTGATACATATAGGATTTACTACACAATTTACAAGATATCAGCAATATCAAGAATTAAATAAAGCTCTACAGAAAAGTATCTCAAAAATGACATGCAATATTTTTATCATGTAGATCTGGTGACAAGAAACACCACAAAATTTGTTTCAACAAATTTGGAGCACCACAGCAGCAACTAGGTATTTTAGAACCCTCTTAAAGCATTTTTCAGAAATCTTTTTTTTTCTTTTAAAACAAAAATCAGCCGGGCGCAAAAAGCTAGGTGCACCCGGTGCTATGCACCCGGGGTTTCCACCGACCACTGCGGCTGGGCCCTGCGGTCCCACGAGTCAGTGACCCGAGAGCAGGGGAGAAGCCCCGCCGATCGGTGCTCACCGGCGGCGAGCCCTTTCGGTGGCGCAGGTGGTGCCAGCGTGCTCAACACGCTGAGCTACACCGACTGGCAGAGTGGAGCTGGCCCAACGGTGTGATGGCCCGCGCGATCGCGGCAGCGCACTCGCCGGAGAGAAAGGGGCGGCCATGCTCGGCCCTCACCTCGATGACGGCAGCCGCGAGCGAGCGCAAGCGACGAAGATTGTCGAGGCGAAACTACTGGTGGTGGGAATCGAGGAATGGTGCGGCGGTGCGGGAGCTCGACGCCGGCGGGGCGCGTCGGCGAGCTTGGCAGCTCGGGCGCTGCTGCTGCTGCTGCGGAGCGAGAGGCAGGGAGGGTGGCGAAGTGAAATGGCGGAGTGGGGTGGCGTGCGCGCGCTCGGACCGGTTTGAAGGCGGAGCACGGCCGGTCGGAGCAGGCACCGCCCCTCGCCGCCGGTGTACGGGCGCCGCGTGGCGGCTGGGCAGGCGGGGAAGGCGGGCGCGTCTACGCGCGGGAGCGTCCGCGGCGTGGGCCTAGGCCGGCGAAGCGCTGCTGGCCAGGGAGAAGCGCGCGGCAGGCGTGGTGGCAGGCCGGGCCGGCTTCGGCCGTGGGCCGGGAAGCGAGGCGCGAGGCCCATGAAGGTGAAAATGAGATTTTTCAAATTATTTTTGATTCCTTTGTCATTCAAACGAATTTTTGAACTATTTCAAAGCAGTTTCAACTTTGGCCCAAAAATAAAAGTTGCTCCAAAATTTATTCTCTACAACTTTTCTTTTATGACCAAAGTCAAATTCCAATTAGATTTTGAATTACCAAATTAAACTCAATATTAATTCAAAACCCTAATTTGAATAAATATTTTTAAAAGCAAACTTTGGCAAAAGTTCAAATATAAACTTTGCTCCAATTTGTATCCTAATTATTTATAAGCTATCCTAGTGATCAAAACAAGAAATCATGGCATCCAAACATGAGCACGGCATTTCACAGTGTTTTAAACATACTGAATTTCAATCAATTTAAGCACCACATGAAATGATACTTCATTTCTTTCGAAATGAAATGCATACATGATGCTTATGCATGAGGTGATGTTGATTAGGCTCATGGGATGAAATGGTAATGCACGCTTAACACCGAGGTGTTACAGTGGGGTAGTGGTTGAAAACCTTGATAACTTGGTGAGAATTGGGCATACTGCTGGAGGTTGCTTACACCACCAAAGGGATTCAGGTTGTGCATGACCTGAGTAGGCGAACTATGTTGGGGATAATGGGAATGGTTGAATGGTGGTGGTGGGGTGGGCAACTGAGTCTGGTTGAATGGTGGTTGTGGGATGAGGAACTGATTCTGGTTGAAAGTGTTGCGTGTGAAATTTGGGATGTGCTGGAAGTTTGTGTTATCTGCTCTTGGATTCCTGGGATCAGTGGCGAGCAGCCTACTAAAACTACCCTCTGAGGATTCCATATGAACTAGGAAATATCACTATTGAGTTGTTTTGATTTTGCTTCTCTATTTTTGTGTAGGCCGGTGGGAAGGAGGAGGTAGGAAAAGGTTGCTGGAACAAAGGAGGAGGCCGCTGGGAACAAGGAGGTAGGAAAGGCTTGCAAGGAAGAAAGCAGGTTGCATGTCTCCTTTTGAAGAAGCGGCGTTCTGCTGAAGAAGAAGCGTTGTTTTTTTCTTTGAAGGCAACGGTCAAGTGACCGTTGAAATGTGAATGCTCATCACTCCTTGGCAGTTGGAGCCATTGGTGCTGTGTCATGTGTCAGTGTGATATATTTTTTTATTGCAAAGGGAGCGGGTTCGATGTATTGAACCTGGGTCTCCATCGACCCCTCCCACAGTGTATCGTACTGGGTCCTTTGTTTGCATTAAATGCATAGACCCAGCTTCGACACCCACACTGCGGGTGCTCTAAGGCCATTCTTGATATCTGTGCCTAATATTAAGTTTCTATGTCAAGAAAAAAATGCTATTGTTGTAGCAGGTGTGAGGATGACTGGGGAAAATAATAAGAGCATGTTCAAGAGAATTGCTATCTAACTTGCTATTACTATTTTTAGCTAAAACTCTAGAAAAATGGTCTCCAACAGACTGGGTACACAACATTCAGATAAAACACTTGCAACATATGTGTGAAACGTATGCAACATCCAAATAAACACATTTGCAACATATATCTGGAAAATAGATGAAACATTGGGAATAAAAGTTTACAATATACGGGGTACAACAATTGCAACATATGCAACATCTTAATCTACTTTTGCAACTTTCACATGAAACACTTGCAACATCCAAATGAAACATCTGAAACACTTGAAACATACTTTTGCAACGGCATTTTCTCCACGCAATGTCACCTTGCTGTTTGGACGAATCGCGGAGGTTGAGGCCGGCGCGGAGATTGGCTGTGGCGCATGGAGCTCGCCGGTGCTCCTCTGGGCGAGGACCTGCTGGTTGGCATTCTCAAGGCCATTCTTGACATCTGTACATAATATTAAAGTTCCTATATCAAGAAAAAATGCTATTATTGTAGCAGGTGTGAGGATGACAGGGGAAAATAATAAGCAAAGAAAAGTAAGGCCAGGACATGGGCCTTTTTTTTGTTGAGAAACAGGACATGAGGCCTAGTTAAGCGTATACTCAAGGATGGGTCGTCAGGCCTGGCCCGCTAAGAAGGTCCAACCATAATACTCGCCAAGATTTTTATACAAAAACACTAAGATGCTTAGCAAGTCACGGACGTTATGAAATGTGAAACCGGAGATGCGCCTAGCCTACCAAGTGACAAGTCATCTCACGGCACGGCCGACCGAAAACGCACGCGTGGAGCACACATCGGTGTTGCCAGTGTTGCTAACCGCAGCCGGTATACCTGAGGAGGAGGCTGGACTCGACAATGACCCGTGACAAGGGCGGCCGGGGTAAACAGCGGCGCCAACGCCTCTGGACAAAGACACCACTACGCATGATAGCCAAGCACGTCAAAATGACATGTACTATGTATGGGGCGCAGCCATCTCAACGCCATTCTTCATTCTTGGGTCGTGTTGTATCTGCCAAGTTTTTTTTGCTTCTTCTAGAAGAAAAACCGTTCGGTTTGCTGAAACTTGGCTGAAAAATACTGTTCTGGCTTAATTGTTGTGAGACAAAAATACTGTTTCGGCTGAAAAAACAAACCAAACGAGCCGGTTTCTGGATAAGCCGAACGGGGCCTTAGTTGCCCGTGGGTGCACGATCGCGATGTACCGATAGCGATTTTTTTCGAAAGTCTTTGTCATTGAGGATTTTCGTAGCGCCATTGATTTTGTCGGTTTGGTAGGCAATTGGCCTCTTCGAAAGGTAGACAAGTGACGTCGACACGTCGTTGACTGAAATCCAATCCAAAATGCTCTCTTCGGATCGGCTCTTCAAATCAAATAGTGTGAGCGAAAGAGATGCTCGATTTCATCTTTTTTTTGTGTGCAAACTGGACCAAGTATATTGTAACGTACTAGAATATCCATGTTCTCGAACTTTTGAAAAATCCAACTCCGACCTTACGGCGAATGGACCGATCGGCCGATATTCCCATTGGATGGTGGGGAGACCGTCGTGTATCGGAGAGAAATCTCCAAATCCAAATCCAAATCCTAACGCGTGCATTCGGGGCTGTTTGGTTTGTGCAGCCAGCAGCCACCGAGCGTCCGATTTCAAGCGCGTCAGGGCGGGGATGGCTTGCTGGCGAGCAATCGCTGAGGAGGCTCGTGTGTCTCTGTTCCTCGGGCGGCCGATGGGGTCAGATCAAGACCTGAAGCGAGCACCGTGCCACCGCCGACGACGCGCCCATCGACCATTCCGTTATTCTTCCCATTGCGTCTTTGTCACTTGTCGCCTTGTGCGTGTTGTCGAAAGCGGATGGAGATGGCCAAGTCACTTGTGCTTTCCGTGCAACCTTGTTCTGTTCGGGTGGGTGTGCAACGCCAACGAGCCAGCCGGCAACGACTTGGCTCGGAACGTTTGATTGGGCGATGGGTCCGTGTCTTCACCAACAACGCGCGCCTGATCATTGGTAAATCCATTTATCCATGGGAAGTGGAAACGTTTTCTATCTACAGTGTCGTTATTTTTTTAAAAACAAAGAAACAGAAAATGCTATATGGCAACGGAGCGTTTTGAAGGACCAGAAACGGCGACCAGAGGAGGGTGAATGGGAGCCTCAAATTTCTCGCGAAATATTTGGCCGCTGTCCCAATTTCACCACCAAACGCGCAAATAAATCACCATGATGTCCACGACCCAAAAGATTGGGTGGATGTTTCCTAGGAACACAGCGGGACACCGCAAAGTCAACACAATAAACGGTAGACAATTTGAAGCTCAAACGAATAAATTACGAACGAAAAGCTAGCCGAAAAGTGGACCTAAAATTCTAGGCACCGGAGATAGTAAAACAACTAGCAGTGGCTTTGCAAGTCGTGAGATGTACACCAAACAATTGCCACAATTTAATGCTCTAATGAGCTCATGATTGCTTAGTTCATTTCACAGAAGCAAGAACAAAGCTAATGACCAATAAAAAAATTAAGCATAAGGCGAAGCATAGGCTGCTGCACTTGCCGTTCAACACTAATTGCGAACTGCTTTGGTGATAAAAAATTCAGAGAATGAATCACTGTAGAGAGAGATCAGGCACTGAACAACAATCTCACATCCATGAATTCTTTCCAAGGGAAAATAGATATTCCAGAGATTAGCTCATAAATGTTGGCTATAATTCACGGATGCAAGAAAATGAATTTACTGAAGCTTGTTTTTCTAGACAAGAGCTCCAGGCTAAACTGACCTCCTGCTGGTGGTGACCGGTGAGGGATCCGGTAGTCTCGATCTGGAGGCCTGATGAACCACGATAGCTGAGAGCTGGACTGACCGAGCAAAATCAAATCCGGAACAGTGAAGAACGAACAGGAACTCGAGAGCAAACGAACGAGAGAAAGAACGTAGTACAGTAGATGGAAGAGACGGCCACCGAAAAAACGACCCGAACTCGAATGAAATCGAACGAAGTCGCTCTCAAATCTTCTTTGAGAGGATCACAACTGAGTTGAGAAGCTATCCCGAAAAAAATTATTGTCCAATTCCAACTAAAACTCTGGGAAATCCCCATCTCGTGCAAGAACACAGCTTTCCCCCCAAAAACGAAATCTGCTTGAAATTTGATGCACGAGTGGAATTGATGAATTTCAATTGGTAGGATTGTTCATCACTCGTCAGAGCATCAGTCAAGCCAAACAAAAATGCTCCAAAGCATCAGAACCAACAGATCGAACATACGAGCAAAAAAAACAGGAAAACCAGGAGAACATACACAGGAACACGAGCACACCAAAAATGATTCAAACTTCCAAAGCCCGGAGGTCACGGTGAGGTTAGGGCCTCACTTCCCAACCAAAAACTCAGATTACACAGATCAATTCGTGGTTCATCTGTGGACTTCTCACTCAAGAACAGCAAAGAGAAGGAAACCCTAGCTAGAAGGGGGAAAACGAAAAATGGGAGAGGTTAGGGAGATGGGGGGCCCCTCGTCCTATTTAACAGGGCTATTACACATTCCCAGTTTTGCCCCTGGATACAAATGAGTTGAACCGCTAAGCCCAAGGGCGTTGTTGTCCAACCCAGTGTAATCTTGATCCGATGGCCATCGCGCCTACTCACCGGTAGCTTCGCCTCGATGCGAACTCCCCGATGCCGCCACGTGCCGTCCGTCCCTCCTCGGAACCTCCATCCGGGTTTTGAGGCCCAAACCCGTAAACCGTCCATCCGATGGTTTTGAGACCCAAACCATCAAACCGTCCGTGGGTAGCGTACTCCATATGCATCCCCTGCCATCCAACGCGTGTCACCGCCATCCTCGACCGCCCGGCCCACCAAGTCCTCCTGAGCCTCGCTCGACTCACGCGTCCGCCGTCTTGACCCGGTCAACACCGTCACTCCATGTCTTCTTGCACTTGTCGATGTCCCAAGTGTCAGCCACTGCGGCTAGTCACCCGGCCTCTGGGTCCCTCGGTCCAAGCCTCACGTTCGTCCTTCACCGCTCCCGGTCTGTCGGCACGGCACGTCCTCCTTGACCTTCACCTCGCCGTCGACCACCGCATCCGAGCTCCACACCTGCACAACACAAGCCAAAAGACATGTCGCACACATAGCTTTCGCCATGGTAGGGTTAGTCACCACTCAACCCACTTCGTGGATCACATTGACAATCACTCATCACAAAACGAACACACAAGGGTACTTGTCAACCTTGTGTTCGCAATCTCCCCCTTGATGAGTGCATTGTCAACACCAATACACGAACAGCTTGAGCAAAAGAAAAAGAAGAAGAAGAAGAGAAAACAAAGAACTCACCCAAATGACCAAAAGCCAAAGAAAAGCCAAGAACCGGGTCATTTGAAAATGAGCAAAACTTGGTCCCCAAAGACATGGGCAATGGCTCGACGCAACCAAGTAAAACAAAGCTAGCCCTCAAGAAGAGGCAACGGGCTCAACACCACTAGCAAAGCTTGAAAAGCCGAAAAACTGCTAGACCCTCCAGAAGAGGCAAAGGCTCAACACATCTAGCAAAACACCTCAAATGCAACTCCCCCTGAACAAGTGCAATCTCTCTCAAATGAATGCATATCTCTCAACTTTAGGTGGAATTGGAAGTTTCTTCCCCTTTTCTGAATATTTCTTCCCTTGTGTCCCCTTGTGACATTGTGAGTGTGGAAACTTCTCCCCCTTGTTGACACATGCACTTATCAAGCTAGAGCCCAAGGGTTGCAACTCCCCCTCAAAACAAGCTATGAATGCAGAAATGCACGAATGCAGAAGCTTCAAGATTATAGCAAGTAGATTGAAAGGATGCTCTAGTGGATGCTGTCATGTATATATAGCAACACA